GAAGTGTGACAAGTCCTGATTCATAACAGCCGGTACATTCTGAACACACCCAAACATGACGAAACATCAATGTTTATAAACAAACCATTGTGGTGCGTACCTCAATGCAGACAGCAACCTTTCAGAAAGCCGGCAAGCGCTCCATTCGACAGGTGGTTTTTTCTATCCTTCACTAAGGTAATCTTGGCTCAAACCCAAAAATAAATGTACTAAAACAGTTCAGCAAAACTATAGAGAAATGTGTACCCTCTGATCTCCACTGAGGCTGGAAATGGCAATGGTGAACACTCATGAATATTCATGAAGGCCACAGCGGGTCAGTTCATTCACAAATTTACCAGCAAAGTGAGGTGGAAGGATTCTCCCGCCAAAACTGTATCCGGTACAGACATTATAAAGTTGATTAGCTTTGCAATCGAGTAGTGGGAAATCTTTTCAAATCACAACTTAACAGAAACATGCTACCAATTACAGACTGGTTTTTAGAAAACTTTAGTGAGTGTGTTTTTGTTTCCTTAATGAGTGGGTGTGAAAGCTTATATGTTTGAGCTGGAAACCCAATGAAATGCATATAAGGATGAAAGTAAAAGTCCTTGAAAATTTCAATGAAAATGGTCACACACTGAATAAAGATACGACTCAATCTTTCTCGCAAAAGTAATGAAGAAAATGGTGTAATGAAACGAAATATGGAGTTAGAACTATAAAAGCAAAAATATTTCAAATATTTACTAAATTGATTATTGTTGATATCGACATTCAAATCATTGTAAATTAAAAAAAATAATTAAATTTAAAGTTCAGGTTAATTAAAGCTACACTTAAAACAATTAAAATCCACTGTGAACCAAATTAATATGCCATGGAAACAGATAAATACACTTTATGATTTTGAGAATACAACACACTGTGGAATTGAAATGTGTACAGCACTTGGCCACCGAAGCAATTAATGCATGGATGTGTCCCGAAGAACAAGGGTTGTGGAAGAGGTATATGTGGATTCAATTTCCACATTTATTCAGGAACTGTAAAAAAATACATTTGAGTGTTCAACTTTTTATATCAAAAATAAACCAGCAGTTGAACAGTTTATTTACCCAATCAATATAAGATTATTTTTAGTTCAGATTAAAGATACAATCAACATTACAAATGTTAACCGTATGTGTTATTTATTTAACATTCACTCTGTTCCCAGTCCACTGGGAAACAGTGGCCAATATAGACCTAAGGTTATTTACGGCTGTTACAGGCAGCTGATACAAGAGAAGGAAGAAATTTATCCAGCGGAAAACTGTTTTTGGCGACAAGGATGATCAATGTCTGTGTACTTTATCAGAGTTTATCATTCTTATTCAATAGAACTATAGTCTCTCACCTCGTGATTATGTACTTATGCCATTAATTGTGTGAACGGTTGGATGAAAGCCGAGATCGAACCCATGCCTATTGCTGTACAAAGCGGACACAAAAACTGTCACAATGCTGCTAAGATCATAATTACGTATATGTATGATGTATGCAAAGTTTAAAATGATATTATTAAACTGACATGACTTTATTTGTCAATTTCAGGTGAATAAGTGGTACCGTCTCCTTGGACATTGTCAATCGAGGTCGATCGTCACTGCCAACATAACAACAATGACATAGAAACAAAGTCAGGGTCATCATTACTATTGTTATGTAAATTACAGTCATTAACTGTTTTCATTGCGTTCAATTACTTCTCATTAAAGTCAGACAAGTCCTTGCAGGATCACTTTGCGGAATGACGTTAAACGCACACATGTCACAACAGAGACTTCAGCAGGTGTCAGTTTTGTTACATTTTTGTCACCACAGCCCCACAATAAATACAGTATTTGCTCGACTAGAGGCACACATCAGTCATAAAATGCATTTATTGTATGCTGTATCAATCAAATAATCAACTCATTTTGACAACACACCGCTGTCATTTACGCAAGTGCATACACGACTAATGGATCAAATACTGTATATATGAACTCTATAGGGGTCCCCACCCCTAAATCATAAATGATTCATTCCTTAAATTTAATTATCAAATGTAATTTACACCTAACGATTTAAGCTGAGAATTGACTTAAATATCAGGTAATTGGACAGGATAATTTCATCCTATAGGTTAAATGTACATCGATATATATATATATATATATCAAACAATCAGTCCTATTGCCATAATTGATTATTAAGGTATCAAAAAGACAGAGACAGTTACATAGAAATAAGACACAGGAGACAACAGTACCAGACACTAATCACCCAGGGACGTAACGCTCACTGATTCCTAAGTTAACTGTCTCCACAAAGTATGCAAGTAATCTACCTAGGAATTATCGTATGGTTGATTTTACATCAAGATATCTTCGGTTTTATTTTGAGTGAAAGAAAAACCCTGGGAAGAGGATTCGTTCAGGCAGACCAATAAATTTTAAGACACTGATAAGATAGAACTATAAGCTTCAATTAATTTGTTGAATATTGGAATTAGTTACTAATGCATAACACATGTAATAATACAAAGAAATCATCTTTATGGGGAGGAGAGGGGTGTGTGTGTGGGTGTGTGTGTGGGTGAGTATGTATGCGTGTGTGTGTGTGTGGGTGTGTGTGTGTGTGTGTGTGCGTGTGCGTGTGGGTGTGTGTGTGGGTGTGTGTGTGGGTGTGTGTGTGGGTGAGTAT